GTCGTGCGAGCTCCAGTCGGGGCTCTGTCCCAGCGCCGCCACGACGTGGTCCCGACCTGGTCACTACCTGGGTGGCCTGGGGCAGCGTCTCGGAGCCTCGGGCTCCCCCTCGGGGAACGGGCTGCAGGGCGAGTACGGCGCTGGCTGTCGTAGCCCTGTTTCCCGCGTGCGGTGGCTCCACGCGGTGCTGGAGGTGGGAAGGCCGGGCCTGCCGCCGCCGTGTGCGCCCGGGCGCTGCGCCCTGCTCCGAGGAGCCTTCCTGGGTGAAATGGAGCGGGGAGGCGTGCGCCTGGCGGGGTCCGTGTGCCGGCAAGTGCACCTGCAGGTTATTCAGTCAGCTGTCTGCAGATCGGCGCTGACTAGGGAAAGGCTGGCGTTTTGTTTGGAGAGAGGGTTTTTTGTTTTTAGATAATTATTTTATTTAGTTTTTTGACTAGAGAGGGACACAATGAGAGAGGGAAGGTGAGAAAGCAAGCTGCCAGGTCTGGGACTCGAACCTTGGGCAGCCATGTGGGAGTGCAGCCCTTAACCACCGCCACCTGCCGGCCCCTGGAGAGAGCTGTTTGCTCTAGGGCATGTGCACTTGCCCGAGAGAGAAACAACTCCAGGCATCACCCCCCACCCCGGGGGTGACCCCGTTGCCGTCCTCCCAGGATCTTGGACACACAGGCACCTGGTATGAGTTGCAAGCCTCTGTGTCTGGGACTCGAACCGTTGAGGGCCTGTGGGGGCCGGCGCCTTCACTCCAGCACCTGCTGCCCCAGAAAGGCTGCTGTTACAGGTGGCAGAGAACTGAGCGAGCGTCTGCACCCTCAGGCTGGGCGATCTCCGACCGCATGTTTCTAGACAGCTCGTGTCCGTCTTCCCTCTCGCTGGCCCCATGACTCCGGAACGGGACGTCTTGTGCCCCAGGGCCGATCAGCAATGTCTGGGTCATCGGTGGGTGTCACAGCCGGGGTGCTGCTCAACCCCACAGTGCCCAGGACGCCCCGACCCAGTGGAGCGTGGGCCACCCTGACTGTCCACAGGGCTGACCGGGAGTCCAACGCTGACCATGTGGGGAAACAGCTCCGGTGGGCAGACGGTGTAACCTGGGCCCCAGCATCCTCCCACGCCACGTGGGTTTCAGAGGGGCAGGTCTTGGGGACCTTCGTGGCTGCACCCACTGGAGGAGGGTGCTCCTGGTGTGAAGTGGGCAGCACAGGCCCAGGGCCCACGGTGCTGCCGTTAACCCCTCGTGGGCCGCGGCTCTCGCCCTGGCAGGAGAGAACAGAGTGCGTTGGCATTTACGCCAGGCTCAGGGCTCCTGGCTCACGCCTCTGCGAGCCTTGCAGAACGGGCGTCAGGAGGGAAAGCCCTGCGGGTGGGGGCAGACCACCGCAGGCACGGCACCCTGGGCCGGGCTGCCGATTGGCACTGCCGCGTGTTCCGGGGGACCCCGGCCACGCCTCTCTCGTGGCTAATGAGCTTCAGCTGCAGGGTTGGCTCGTTGCCGGAGACTCGTGGGCTCCAGGCCGAAGGTGTTGCGTCCGGGCCTTTCCGAAATCGTCTGCTGTCCCTGGAACAAGCCAGTGCAGGACAGTGTGCATGATGCCCGGGCCCCCAGGGCTTCCAGCCAAGGTGGTGACATAGCCTTGCGGGACAGGAGCGGTGCAGGCTTGGCCGAGCCGTGTCCCAGCCGGGAGGCTCCTTGGTGGCTGTCATCTTTTTTTTTTTTTTTTTAAATACTTATTTCTGGGACTAGCAGTTAGCATAATGGCTATGTTGCAGGACTCTCATGTAGTCGACCGCGGTTCGCATCCTGGACCCGGTGGCTTAAACTCACTCCGGGCGCGTGTGCCCAAGATCCCGAGAGGAGAATGGAGAAGAAGGGATTGCGGCGTGACCATCCCCCTTGGGGGGTGATTTCTCGCTTTTTGTCTCTCTGTCTCTCTCTGTCTG